AACCACACAAAAATCTTGCTCCCGTCACAAAGTCCACGTAATTAGACAGAGGTAGACGCATCTTCTCTTTTCTAATTTGACTTCTGTTTTAGTGGCGTCTTAATAATTGTTTTCCCTCGCTGTAATCATTTTGACAACTCAGAAAGCAATTGTATGTATTAAATGATACATCGTGGATTATAGTTCAATTTTATTTTTCCTTTCAAAGCAATGCTGCTTGAGCCGAATGTCCCTCAAATATACTCTAATTCAATATAACTTAAATTCATTCTATTTTATGGGAGCAAACTGGAGCAAATGTTTTGAGTTGGTACCCCTTATAGGTTACGTCTGATTACTTGGCCGAAGGGCAGGCATCTCGGGGATCAAGATATGCTTCCCTGGGAACTTTTTTTTAATGTTATTTGATGCATTTTTATCAACTTTAAATAGTTCTATTCTGATTAAACTAAATCATAAAAATACAAATACAGAATCTTCAATAAATGTGCAAAACAATTTATGCATTTAAGCACAATTTTAACTTTTTTAAAACTCATCTGGTACGCCTGTGCGTACTTCACGCAATAGGTCCGACGCTCCAACATATTTTATGCATGTACAAGAACATAACAGAACTTTTGCTTGAGAAAAATATAACCCTTACTTCAACTCAGTATTTGTATGAAAAATGATGCAACTTAGCAATGCCCTGTTCCTATTAGCTTATATGTTTCTTTGAAGAAAGGGAGGTAAATTGTTCACTGAATGTTTCTTGTCACATAAATCTGATATAACTAGAGAGCAATTTCATATTCATCTACACCCTACTAGGAACTAATAAATTGAAAATTCAGTAAACCTGTATATCTGAACACCTCTCTAATCTGAACACCTATTTGTGTGAACACTTTTTCTGATCACATCTGAAGACCTCTCTAATCTGAACACCTATTTGTATGAACAATTTTTTCTGATCACATCTGAAGACCTCTCTAATCTAAACACCTAATTGTATTAACACTTTTTTCTGATCACATCTGAAGACCTCCTAATCTGAACACATATTTGTATGAACACTTTTTTTCTGATCACACCTGAAGACCTCTCTAATCTGAACACCTATTTGTATGAACACTTTTTCTGATCACATCTGAATACCTCTCTAATCTGAACACCTATTTGTATGAACACTTTTTTCTGATCACATCTGAAGACCTCTCTCATCTGAACACCTATTTGCATGAACACTTTTTTTCTGATCACATCTGAATACCGCTCTCATCTTAACACCAATTTGTGTGAACACTTTTTTCTGATCACATCTGAAGACCTCTCTCATCTGAACACCTATTTGTATGAACACTTTTTTTCTGATCACCTCTGAATACCGCTCTCATCTTAACACCAATTTGTATGAACACTTTTTTCTGATCACATCTGAAGACCTCTCTAATCTGAACACCTATTTGGGTGAACACTTTTTTCTGATCACATCTGAATACCTTTCTTATCTGAACACCTATTTGTATGAATACTATTTTCTGATCACATCTGAAGACATCTCTAATCTGAACACCAATTTGTATGAACACTCTTACCTGATCACACCTAAAGACCTCTCTAATCTGAACACCTATTTGTATGAACACTTTTTTCTGATCACATCTGAAGACCTCTCTAATCTGAACACCTATTTGTATGAACACTTTTTTTGATTGCATCTGAAGACCTCTCTAATCTGAACACCTATTTGTATGAACACTTTTTTGTGATTACATCTGAAGACCTCTCTAATCTGAACAGATATTTCTACAAACACTTTTTTTCTGATCACATCTGAACACCTCTCTAATCTGAACCCATATTTGTATGAAGACTTTTTTCTGATCATATCTAAACACCTCTCTAATCTGAACACCTATTTGTATGAACACTTTTTTCTGATCACATCTGAGGACCTCTCTAATCTGAACACCTATTTGTATGAAGACTTTTTTCTGATCATATCTAAACACCTCTCTAATCTGAACACCTATTTGTATGAACACTTTTTCTAATCACATGAACTTCATATTGTGAACATTTTTACCAGACCCATTCACTCACATATTTAAACAAGGCATAAACATGAAAAAGTCACAACCTGCCATTTGCTACAGACACCATCCACCAAACACCAACTGCCAAACACCATCCACAAAATAATTAAGAGATAACTGGGGGAGGTGTTGTCATTAAGGCTGCATCATTCTTTGTAATGCTTTTTTGAACGCAAGCAAGATTTTAATCCTAAAAATAGCAAGATTGTAGAAATATGTGCGAAATACCACTGTGTAAAACAAATAAATATAACACAACTACAGTAAAACCTGTCTTAGTGAACACCTCTCTCTAGTGAACACCTGTCCCTAGTGGACACCCTTCCTACGCACATAGTCCACTGACTTCTGTATAATGTACCCTCTCTCTAGTGAACACCTACCTACAGTGAACGTTTTTTCTTGGCAAAAAAATGTTCACTATACACAAGTTTTACTGTATATTAAATTCACTTGCAGATTTTACTGAACTCTCTTACAGGCAAAAAATATCTATATTTCATGACACAACAATGATTTACTAAAGTATGATACAGAAACAAGCATCTTCAACACCGAATTAGACATAAACCATATTACTTGCTAATTTATTAATCATGACAAAATCCTTACCTATAACACTGTTTTTTATCCTTCGCGACCTTCAGAAAACCTAGAAAACTACGCAGCTTTACATTTTATATACGTATATGCATTTAAAAATGAATCTAGACCATACTTAATATATAGACTTAGGTTGTACTTGTTTTATTCGCTGCATTAAATAAATACATCCTTGGTGTGTTGACACTATCTTAACTGTATATTCAAATAAATATGAAATGATTGTTTGCACGATATATTGACCTTAATCTTGAATGCATTGTCTTTAGGCTTCTGATAACATTACACACTTGTACCAGTAAAGAGGACTGACTGTACACCCCTACCATAAGTTTAGAAACCAGAATTTTTCATAAGATAGCACATCAAAGTCGGTAAATGTTTGGATCGCAATTTTGATCTTTCATTACAATAGTTAGGAAATTTATGACAAAATTGATGATTTTTTCCACAAAAAGCTGACTTTGATAATGTGGTCCAAAAAAGGGACTGCCAGTTGTCAAACTTATGGAGGGGAGTGTACTTGCATATATAGATATATATATCACTTATGAAGGGGAGTGTACTTGTAGAGATACATGACAGGTATGATGTACTGAGTGCATGTTAAGTCCATTGTGCATGTTAAGTTCATTGTTGCAATCTACAATCTAGGATTTCTTTCGATTTAAATTTTTGATAAATGAAAAATAATTCAACCTTCCCTAAAAGACTGAACCCAAATGAAATGGGAATAGCTAGAGATACCTGGTGAAACTTTCATAAACATGTATTTATGATAATTAAATTATCTATCAAAAGACCAAATTTCAAGAATATTCTTTCATCATCTCCGGAATCATTCCATGAATTGTGTCGGTACAATTTTCATGACGATCAGAATAACAACCAATCAGTTGAGGTAATTAGCCAAATTACTCACTCTATCTACCTTAAGCAACACCCTGAAAACAGAAATAATACTACACTGGACTATTATGAACCTTTCCATAGCCTATGAACAAGTCCCATGCACCTAGTTAATGAAATATATTACAACATATGTCTGATAGCCTTATTTCAAGTAAAACATGGAAGATGGGAAAATCTAAAAGGTTACTCAGCTCGCTAATTGACAACTGAGAGGCAGACCATGACATCGCCAGTAAGGTATCAATCAAAATGCTTTTATCTGATATCGATGTTCAAGAGATAGATGCAGGACATTTTGATTTAATTTGTCTGTTCAAGTAAGAGCTTATGATTCACTGACAAATAGAGAGAAAATGTACGATTTTTTAAACACAATTAACATTATTCATCAATTGTACAAATTCACTAGAAAACAATATTAGTTTGTTTGTTTGTTTGTTTGTTTTATGGTTAGAGGTTGTCTGCCATTGAACTCAAATGTCAGTGTTGACAGTCAAACTTTGCTGTCAAAAATATTCTCGATAATCAAACTCACGACTCAAAATACTATATCTAGTTGAAGAACTATTTCATTCATGAATGCGTAGTAATATGCAGGGTGGTGGTATGATGAGAAAATAGTTCGAGAAGCATTTAAATAGTTTAATAAATACTGTTGCATAAACATGTGTACCAATAAACAAAACACATTTTACGAATAACAACAATCTATTGTTTATTGAATAACTTTGGAGTCATGCCCTGGTTATAAACCCAAACAATTTCCACACATTGGCCCTTTATAGGAATATAGAATGAGGAAATCTTTCCCATAATCGTTTGTGGTAATAAGATGATGTATCATGACGTACTTTATCCAACTAATGATAGAAGGGTTAAAAATATATTACCCGAGCTCAAAATAACCAGAATAGTTTCCACAAAATAAATAAATTGTTTCAGAAGAGCGACCTTTTCATTAAATCCAAAATTGTTGATGGACAGATAGACGGGGTGATTCTCTAGACTCACCATGTGAGCCAATGAATAAATTGCTTCTGAAGTGTTTCTGTTATAACAGTGGATTATTCATATAATTTAATCCCTGAAATGACATTAATCCTAAATGTGTTATATTTTCTATATCTAATGTCTTCAATCCTGGCTTTAGATGGCCTTCGCTTTAAATTAACTGGATTATCATATCTATTCAACGAATCACCTGATTACATTAAAGTATTGAAAATCTTTTCTATCATGTCTCTCGTTAAATTAATTCCTTCTTTTTATGATAGAGTTAATAAAAAATCCCTTTGTGTTATACTGTATATTAATATGTAGCAATTTGCATCAACCATAACATAACATAACTGAAACAACGTTATCAACGAAGAAAGGAAAAAAGACGTACTGTAGTCTACTTACCGTGTGTAGATAATATGCATAGACAAGAGAGGAGACGGTAGAGTCAAGATCGCAAGCCTCATTTCCAATAACGACATGAACGATGTCGTAGCTGTCAATGTCATCCTGAAAAAATATGAAGCCCCATATAAAATTTCCAAGCAACTAGAGATCTGTTAGTAAAATTTAAAAGGGAGTGAATTAAATTACAATATGGCCCCACACTTTGTGGTGGGGACATGAAAACAGAATATCAAATATGCAAATAAAAGTATGAATATTGATTTATAATTCTCATTTTAGATGTGTGATATATGCCTGGCCAGGAGAATCTATTTGAGAGGTGAGAAATTGGTAGTTTGATTAATTCTCCCCCAAGATTTAGAGAAAACAAATGACCTAACAGACCAGATATTTGTCAAATATATTACTTTTTTTGTTTACCACTCTTAGTAAATTTCAATTTCAATTTGGAACTTGCCTAACTGCTTAAGACCCATTTAACCCATACCGTATCAAGAAATATTTTTAATCCATACAATATGCTCACATCCATTTTAACCCATACCATCTTAAAACCTATTTTAACCCATACCATCTTCTATCCCATTTTGGCCCATATGCCCTTTAGATTTATTTCATACCATACCATCTTAGACCAATTGACTTAGATTGAGAGTAGCACTGGGGCCATTCTGAAATAGCTTACTATTACACTACAACATTGCTTTAAATCAGGATCATTTTTCATCACACATTTTGACAAACAGAAATTCTTAAGACCAGGATCTAAGGTACAATACAAATCTATATTTGCTTTAATCTCAACAGAATTGCAACTCAGTAAGTGGCAATTATGACAGGTTAAGACAGCAATAATGATGATGGCTGACAAAATAACACATCAACAAAATAATTAGAATCTTGATCTAGAAATTGATATAACGTGTGAACACAAATAATATACTGATTCAGTTCAATAGTATTGATTGAGTAACGTTTTTTAAAGAAATCATAAAATAGCCCAGACATATAAAATAGGTGTTATATTTTGTAACCGGAAAATACTGATTTATCTCTCAAAGAAAATAGGAAATATTCTCTCATTTAGACATAATTATTGTCAATTGAACAAGGCATTAACATGCAAAATGTCACCACCTGGCATTTGTTACAGATGCCGAATGCCGAAACACTGACTGCCAAACACTGTCTACAAAAAATTTTGAGACAATAACAATTTGTCACTTGTAGTGATGACATCAAGAGGGTCATTTATGCAGTTCAGTACAAATACTGCTTAATGATCTGTGGTTTCTTTCAATTCTAGACATCACATATATCTGAGAACTAATCACATCTATCTAATATATCTATTTCATAAATACCACCTGTCAGAGGAAATCATATTTCATTGATTAATATATGTTTGCCCTTATCGTTCATTGCATTGATACCCTAGCATTGAAGATGCACCAAGTTGAGATTTTGAGGAACACTTGCACCCATTTGAAAACACTTGCACCAATTTGAAAACCCATAAACACTTGCACCCATTTGAAAACCTATAAACACTTGCATTCATTTGAAAACACTTGCACCCATTTGGAAACACTTGCACCCATTTGGAAACACTTGCACCCATTTGAAAATACTTGCACCCATTTGAAAATCTATAAACACCCACTAGATGAGAAATGAGAACAAGACATGCAAAATGTCCCACCTGCCATTTGTTACAGATACTGAACACCAACCTCCAACCACCAAAACTTCTGGTGTTGACATAAAATTCATGACAGTTTGACCTTTCTTAGGCAGAATCTTGGAAATGAGAATTATGTTTTGCACATACATCAGGAACTTTTTTGTGAGAGAACCCTGTTAATTGTCGGTTAGTATTGTTTTTATTTGTTTTATTTCAGATCATCATATTTAGCCTACAGGAAAATATTTTGTTCCTCATATTAGTCTCATATTTACCTCTCTGCATGTTCAGAATTCTAATGCACAAAATTATTCCAAAAAAGCGAAAAAAGGTTTGTTTATGAGAGCAACACTTTTTCTAAATTGGCCGATCTTGATTGATCTCGGTATAATATGCGGGCGTATATAATTAAAGAATTCCCTTGATTCCATCAATATTGTTGAAGGCAAACATCTATCAAAACAGACTCATCAATCTTGAGACTCATTTGCCATTGTCCTAATTAAGGACAAAATGAAACTGCATATTGGATATGAATACAGAGTGACACAAAATAGAATGGCTTAAATAATTATGAAATTTTCATGAATATTTTCATGTGTATGTATTGTTTAATGCAGAGATCAAAGATGAGGGCAATAATAATGTACATGGTGATCCAAAAATGTAATTCTCTTTTTTGGATGAACAGGGTGATCCAAAAATGCAATTCTCTTTTTTGGAATAGCATAAATAATTATGAAAATTTTGTGTTTTCATGTGTAGAAAGTGTTCAAAGTGGAAACCCAAAGAAGCAGGAAATAATAATGCATCGACAACATCTTATTAAAATAATCATTTAAAAATGCATTCAACACTGCAGGTCCATCAAAAATGAGAATGTAATACCATAAAAGAGAGACTTTTGTGTGACCCTGTACTTTATTTCCAGGGCATAAGTGAATATTACATCGCAAAGATGAAGGGATACATTCAAATCAAAAATAAACAAACTTAAGATGAAGCTTAAAACTAAAAGTTAAAGAACAATGCCAAGAAAGATTTAGTTTAATGATTCAATTTTCACAGCATAGTAGAAAAGAAAATATATATTGATATCAGACAAAACAGAAATAAATCAGAATTCATACTTTTCCATAGTAACCTTACTATTGATTGATTATAGCTAGAGACTACAGTATGTAATACATATATTAATATAACCCTTACAAATAATTTAATCATATATACTGGTATATTAATATAACCCTTAGAAAGAATTAAAAAATAAATATAAAAAAATGTAATCCTTAATGTAACCCTTACAAAAAAATTAATAATAAATATATTGATATAGCCCTTACTTATAGTCATGGCGGGCCATAATGAATATTGAAAAATGTTGGCAAGTTTTGCACGTTCAAATGTAATATAGACCTCAGAGCAGGTGTTATATCAACGAATACATACATTACGGCTAGGCACAAAAAATTTTGAATCCCTCACTCTATTCAGTCATTCGGGGTACAGAAAATGTTTGTGCCTAGCCCTGTGGTAGGTATTCGTCGATATAACACATGCTCTTCGGTCTGCTTTTCTTAAATAAACTAAATTACTATTCTCTTTTTGGAGAACGAGAAAATATTTGCATGTCTGTATCAACATGATTTAGAGTAACCGATAGGAGACACCATATTTCTCTACAAGTGAAGTAAATGCATAATAAAAATATTGTGTGTGGTAGTGATATAAGTTGAAAAGTGATGTACATAAATGTTATCGTTATTGAATGTGTGAACACAATCATTACTCTGAAATGATTAAACATACACTGCATGTTCTGGATAGATATACGAATCATGTAGCATGACAGCTATAATTTTTTTGTTCGGAGTTCGATAATGGGCCTCGTACGAGCTTGTACAGGCCTTGAAATTATGAGCCTTATTTGTGCTCGTATGGGCCTTGAGAACAACAATTACAAGCATCGTACAAGCTCGCACAGGCCTTGAAAACGAGCCTGTACGAGGATGGTGCTCCTTTTTGCCCGTAATGACTCGTAATTCTCGAGGCTCATACGAGCTCCTACGGGGCCTGATGTAATTTGCCTGTGTACCTCACTGAGAGTATTTTGACCTTCAAACAATTCTATAGAATTCCAATTGAAATCAATGTCAACTGAATTCTCATAATTTATGGAATTAGGACATGCAGATGTTCAGATGTTCTGATCTTAAAATAAACTACAAACATACCATAACAATAAAGTACTTTAAATATGCTATTTATGTTTATTGTTTATAATATCTCTCCAACTTTGAATGTTCAATCGTGTATCAGCAGAAAATTAATTTATTACCCTTTACAAAAGTTTGACTAAGATTCTCCAGAATGGTTCTATACTCTGCATACAACCAACAATTTTTTGATCTAAGTTTCTTCAGTGTTCATGTTCAACTTGGGAATGTTTGTTTATTACCTTTGGGTTGTTTATTGCTGAATCCACCTGAATGTCACATTGACCCATTTCTTTTTTAAAAGTTTCACTTTCGCGAAGCAGATATAAGAGCAAATGTCAGATATCATATCTGTTACCCATGCAAAATATCATCTGTGAATCAACAATTAAAAATAGACTGTTCTTGCTACTCATACAAATTAAATTGTTAACTGTTCAGTATACCTTATATTTCAAAACACATCTCTCATTTGAACACCTGAAAATGTGAAAACTTTTTCAGTCCCATTTTTCAATCTGCTAAAGATTTCCATGTTAAAAATCCATGAAATTTTACAACACCTGCCAATCTTATCACTTTTGACCAGTTTTTTGACCAATTTACGGGACTGATTTTACATATGTCTGTGGCGATGTTAAGATTATTCAAATATATCTGTGACACATTTTCCTTATCCTAGCTGATCCGATGAAGAAATATTTTCTGCTTAAAGGTCAGTGCCCGGAAATATTGACAGAATTGAACATGTTGAACAACTAATATACATACTTTTTGTGGCTTGGTTGAATGGCTATGAAAGGTGGCAAAAGGTCTAAAGGTAGGTCATGTGACACAAAACAATGAATCATATGACACAAAAACAATGATCCATTCGCCAGATGGCGTAGTGATCAAATCAAAAGATATACGTAGATATAACTTACCAATGCTTGCCGAGCATGTTCCAAATAGCCGTCCATCACTATTTTTTATCGCGTCAGCCTTTTTTAAACAAAAGCTTGCCACTTCATTGCCAAATTACGCTGAAATACATTAAAAGTACTAAACATGTGTTTACAATGAAAATATCTGTTGTTTGTTTTGAAGTCTGGTATTATGATCAATTTAATATTGATTGTGAATAGTGAATCACTGACTTATGAATAGATGAATTGGGCGTGGCGGAATTTTAAGCTTGCATTCCAGTGCTCTTCCTAGAACTTTTCATGTGAAGGATTTTGTTATTTTTCAATTTTAACATTTTAGAATTTTGTTACTTTTTGTGCAACATTTTATGATTTTATCATTATACACATATATTGACTGAATGGGGAAGCATTTTGACAACGTGAAATACATGGAGCTGTTGCATTTCTTGGATTTCAATGATGGGAGGGCAATGTATTCTGAATTTATGATTAGCTACCTCAGCATCAGAGTTTTCTTGTCGATGTCCTTGGTGAAAATGATGAAAATCAAAATTTCCTCCGACGGGGGTTCACTCCAAATAATTTGGGTAGGTATGTGCAGCACGGTCAATTTTGGCTTTGAGCATAAAACATGGAAATTGGCGAATCTGAGAGGAAAAAAACATGGAAAATTGTTTAAGAAAGTACCCTTTTAAAGTCAAAATTCAGTTTTTCTATAGAAAATTGTATTAAATTCGTTAAATCTGTTGCTGAGGCCTGGAACAAATCACTAGAAAGTTGATTTTTTAGTAATTTATAAGTCTCAGAGGAATTAAACATGGAAACCTTCAATCTTGAGAGGAAATTGACATGGAAAAAATGCTCAAAAAGGGGGTCTTTGGGGCGGCACATAGGTATTAAGAAGTATATTGGAGTGAACCCCCCGGGGGTAATCCATCCATTTTATTATAAAGATGCAGGCCCGTAGCCAGGATTTGTCAAGGGGGGGGTTCAGTTTTAAAAAATTTCCAGGGGGGGGGTTCACATTTGACAATTTTGGCCCAAATATGGCTAAAATCACAAGAGAAGTGCTCAAAATGGTGAAAACTGCATGATTTTGAAAGAATTTTTGGCCAGGGGGGGGGGGGGGTTCGCCCGAACCCTGCGAACCCCCCCTGGCTACGGGCCTGAGATGTAACGTCTTTATAATCAGGTGGGGACCAGTGCATGTAGTATCATTTGGAAATACATAAATAATATTCGTAAACTTCCAGCAATCCTGTTTTTCAGTCGTAACACATCCAGGAGATCTCATCAACAGGAACTCAAAAGAGTACAAGTTTTTACGTAGAACATAAATTGTTTCATGATTAACTCTGCTTGCACTATGTTACCTTTAGATATTTTTCTATCAAGCGTTATACAAAAAAAACTTGATTGATTGATCTTCATCTTGATGATGATAGGCCTATTGATTCATTTCATGATTGCAAATTTTTTTTTTGAAAAATTTAATTTTTAATTTGGCCAACATCTGTACTAATCTAACCTATATATGATAATCTTACACGTCTCAGTTACACTAAATTGCACTGTGAATACACAATAATGTACTTGTAGAAGTTAACTTATAAAAAACACGAGATATTACCTGTATTTGCAACAACTTTCTCCGGATTAACTTTTTCTATTCCAGGTTGTGAAGTACGTCACGCTTGTCGTGTGTACACACGAACTGATGACGTAGTCCACATCAAGGATTTGCCAGGTGTAAATTTCTTATCGAATTTTGTTTAAAAAATTTAAATATCTCATCGCAATATGTATCAATTAGCTTAGGACTAGCATAATCTATAAATCATAATTTGGTTCGAAAGATTTAGACGGATATCAGAATTCTGAGTGACTGCCTGTAGGAAATATAAACAGCTGAACTGTGCAGAATTTTTTGCCACGGAATTTTTTCAGATTTGAATCTGAAACTTTGTCTGCTTATGAGCTAGTTATTCACGAATAAGGCATTATGTTGAACAGTCATTGACCAATATATTATTGGTTTCAAAATACATTACAATACGATACATTCAGATAGCTGATGTTCCATTGAAAAAACCTCGACACTCTTCGTCTACAAAATGAAGAAGTATTTAGCGTTCTTGGGTGCGGGGATGTTCTTTGTCGGGTGTTTCTCACTATACTTGATGTTAGAGAGTGCCAACATGTCGGGTTCAAAATTCCCAGAAATGCCAGAGGTATGTACTATTTTTCCTGTATTATTCTCGATATGTTTCCTAAATACCGTTCAGTCCTTCAGTAGATACAGGTTGAACAAAACAATTTTGAAAAATTGCTATATCTGCACATGTTATGTTCTAGTGCAAAGCAAAGTATGAAGGAATATGAGTGCATTTCCTTGCTTATTTTACGATCAAGTATCATTACATTGTCTCTAAGTTCTTTTAGTAAACCAGGTAAGAGGTCACTGGTAACTCAGGTGTTGTCCAGAAACTTTCAGTAAAAATTTGGAAGATTGAAATGGAGGCCATTTTCAATGCGTTTCATGAAATATCAGCATTTCCTAGAGTTGCCATTGACGTCTTACCAGATTTACCAAAAGTCAATGCAAGGAAGATAAAAGCAAGGAAATTCATGCATGCCTGCTTCATATTTAATTTTACAGAAAAAACATGTGCAGGAATAGCAATTTTTTCAAAAAAAGTTCTTTTCACCTGTAGCTTAAAGGTGTTTATGTTGTATTTGGTATAGGGCCTGTATTCACAGGAATAGTAGCTTTGAAATCATCAACAATTGCTCAGATTGGGGAAAAACGAATAGTGGAATATGTGGGAGCAAATAGGTTTGGAGTAATATAAGAATGGCAAGTAATGTAAAAAATATATAAAAAATATATTGGTTAGTGAAAAAATACTAAATGATAAGCTATATTTGAGTTATTTGAATGTATCGACCATCTAGGCATGTACATGGATTTTATTATTTTCTTTCCCACTTCAACAATTGAATTTTGCACTAATGAAGCGGATGTATCATTTACAATACATAAACTATACACATCTGTTCAAATTGGTTAAACTTGGCATATAACAACTGAGTTATACTTATTTGGTATGATTTAGTCACAAGTGGTGACATACTGTAATAGTCTTCAACTTTTTTTGTGGATGACCCAGACTTCTTACTTGGTCAGCTTTCAGTCATATACAAATATAGGCACTCAGTACTCACAGTTTATTGCTAAAATTTCCCCTGAAAATTTGAATTTTGATATCAATCTATTGGACTTTGAAACTGAACTGTGTCACTGAATCCTTTTTCAAATAGTATCTATAAGTACACAAATTTTGATGTTGAGAAATCCTTTTGTTCTTTTTTTTTACGCGAGGCCATTATTAAGGATATTGGAAATTTGCTTTCCTTGAGAAAAATTGCACTTTCATGGGACTGTGTTTATTAATATTTTATGAACTCTCATCTATTCACAAATTATACCTTACATGTTTATCTCTGTCCTTTTTATGGCTTCACAGGTCTAATAACAGATCTCAAATTATATGGACTTGATTGTTTTTTCCCTCCCCAAGAAAGGCGAGAATCTTGTAGATTGTCACTTTTTTATTGGAGAGATAAATTATTTCTCTTGTACAATTTTGCAATTTGATTTACAGGAAAGAGGAAGATGAAGAAAAAATAGTCCTAAATTTTGATTATAATGAATAATAAATAAGATAGAGCCCTTTGATGTATAAATAAGTTGACAATGGATTAATGTAAGCAGCTAAATCACACCTGCATAGCCTGAGAATGGTAAAGTATCTGACTTTACCATTGTCAGGCTATTTTGGAGTGTAAATGTTAATTTGGTCAACATTTTTATATTCAAAAATTTGGAAACTCAAGCATTCTTTGTTGATTAGTTTTAACACTGCAATAATAAAATATGTGAAGTTCTTATAGGTTTGAAGCGATAATCTAAGCAGAAAAGGTGATCTGTTCATTTCCTTCAATTCAAAAAATTTACCCAGGAGCTATAAATAACCCAGTAGATTATACAGAGATCTGTGTTTCTCTTTAAAGTCATTATGAATGCCATATTATTTATAAAGCAATCAAACTAGAGAGTTAATGACTTTCAAACATAAGTTCACAAATGTTTGGTTCAAAGGTCCAGAGTAGCAAGCATTATTATGATGGTTTATTGGGTCATGTAGTCTAGAATAAGTCGTGGATGGGGTTCATGGGGTCATGTAGTCTAGAATAAGTTGTGGATGGGGTTTATGGGGTCATGTAGTCTAGAATAAGTTGTGGATGGGGTTTATGGGGTCATGTAGTCTAGAATAAGTCGTGGATGGGGTTCATGGGGTCATGTAGTCTAGAATAAGTTGTGGATGGGGTTTATGGGGTCATGTAGTCTAGAATAAGTTGTGGATGGGGTTTATGGGGTCATGTAGTCTAGAATAAGTTGTGGATGGGGTTTATGGGGTCATGTAGTCTAGAATAAGTTGTGGATGGGGTTTATGGGGTCATGTAGTCTAGAATAAGTTGTGGATGGGGTTTATGGGGTCATGTAGTCTAGAATAAGTTGTGGATGGGGTTCATGGGGTCATGTAGTCTAGAATAAGTTGTGGATGGGGTTTATGGGGTCATGTAGTCTAGAATAAGTTGTGGATGGGGTTTATGGGGTCATGTAGTCTAGAATAAGTTGTGGATGGGGTTTATGGGGTCATGTAGTCTAGGATAAGTTGTGGATGGGGTTTATGGGGTCATGTAGTCTAGAATAAGTTGTTTCTGTGAAGCATTTTATGTTAAATAAAATTGGTTAAAAACCCAACAGCTGGCATTGCACCGTGATATTGTTTACTTAAATACAATAACGATATGGCGATGAAAATAATTACAACAGGACATCACATTGAATATGTTGAATTAGATAAGATTCACAGGTGATGCAAAATTTCATATTTCATAACCTTTCCATCTTCTTGAATAGTCAAATGTATTATGTTAAAGTCGAATCAAAAAATTCAATGTTGATATTGTGTAATATATAAATTCAGCAAGGTACTCATTTTTTCAAAAAATGAGGAGTAGAAAAGGTTAATCATTATTAAAATAGAGTGGTGAAAAATTCAAAATTCGGTGGTGATATAGGTGGTGCTTATCTTTGAGTGAGTAGTGAAACTTGTAGCTGTGTTGTACTATCGCTCAATGTTCCTGTTTCAATAGCTCAGTATTGCATTTAGAATACAACAATATAATAATCAATGTTGTTGATGAATATTGCATGAGATTACATTATATTAATTGAATTAGATGTTTAATTGATCAACTGATAGCTCTAACCCATTTGATGTATGTTTTATTGTATTCGATCAGATAAGTTTTTCAGTTTACAAGACTAATGATCTGATATGTCTGAATAGATTTAAAATATAAAACCTAGTTGAGGACTGCAAATATAAGAAGCATTCAATCTCGTTATTCATTTTAATATACATATCAGTGATCTTCCCAGCATTAGAACATGTGGGTGCAACATCCACCTGACATTTTAAAAACAGGCTTGCACCCTCCTGAAAATTCATTTTCACCCACTTGAAAATCAGAAAAAACATGAAAATAGGCATATGTGGACCAATGCCAGTGTGAATTGTAAAAATGAGAATTTTGTACACACTTGTGAAAAAATCCTATGGAGATCACTGCATATTGTATTTATACTGTAGTTTATTTGTTATAACATCAGCTAGAAAGATAATTGACTGACATTGTCTGCAATGGCAGCTCTTATCTATTTGTGACTTGTTTAGCCTTTGGATATATGTGTTGTAGATACAATTAACATGTACATGAACTATTAACACACATGTTTTAAACTTAAAACCTGAAGTTATACCTTTATGTGAAAGTCTCATTATTTTCAATTTGTTAAAATTCATCCTCCAAATACAGGCCTCCAGAACTGGTACCTCCTTCTTCCAGAAGAAGAAGGAAGGAACTTAGTGGATGATGTCTGGAACCCTGCATATGAAGAATGGTCAAAATTGCAACTGATCAAAATTAAGATTGATGATGTTATCCAGGTTGTACTTTTTCAAAATTAGCAAACATTTAATCATAGTTTTGCTTGGACAGATTGCTGCCTACAACCAATGATATCATCAATAAGCCAATATACATATATCACACACACACAAAACAGAAATTTCAGTTTCAGAAAAGTTAAAGATCATGAAAAATCAAACACAGGAAAAGTTGAAATATTTTCAGAGTGTTAATGTTTATTGATTTGATAAAGGTCTACCCAAAAGCTTTTCATTATTTATGTAGATTTTCTTATGTAGATGATGATGGATGCATTATTTTAAATGCATAATTTGAGTTTTTGAATCTAAGTCTGATTTTCAAAATTTGCCTTGGTGGGTTTCTCAACTTGCAACATGTCTATTTAAAAAACTGTTTTAGAATTTTCACATCTTTTTATACAGTGGGTAAAGACTTCAACTTTGGAACCACACCCCATTTTGTTCTGAAGAATGGCTTGTACCTTTCATACTCAGTTCCTTTTGTTTGAATACCTTGATATATGTAATGTTTTGCAACAAAGGCTTGCATGTTAATTCTTGTATATATATTTTTGAAAAGCTGATTTTGAACTTTACATAATTACTCATTTTCTCTCAAAGTTTCAATGGTCTTAAGAAATTAAGACTGCATGATTTCTAAAGGTCGATGATGACCTCTGATTTTATGTAATTCATTTGGAATCTGAGGTCATACACTATAAAATATGAATTAAAACATTAAGGTTTTTCTCATGACTCTTATTTGGCAAATTAACTTTCTGCCATTCAGGGTCATTTTCTCAAATGCTTTAGACATTCTAGATTCCCATTCAAAAATATTCTTTGTATTGGCAATTATTGAAACAAGCGTCACGCATTATTAAAAATCAAATAGAAATGTTACATTATAAACTCAAATTCCAATCTTGAATTCTTAAATCTAGCGTCTATACTTCTTACTTGTTAGAGATATGTATACTTGGGCAAGCTTATCAAGTAATCTAAAATGAACAAATTGAAATGAAAGCTGAACAGTAAACAATATAATACTGAATGTTAAACATATATGATACCAGTGATTGACATTATTAAGAAACCTTGAAATCAGAACACTCGATAACTCAAACACTTTTGGCCAGTTCTAGGAGTTTTTGGAATAAATAGGTTAA